TTCTGCGTGTATTTATTGTTTGTTCGCACAAACTTACGGTGCATTACTTTTAATATTCTGCCCGACTATTTTATAATAATATAATTTGGATATTTACATATGAAATTCATATTATGAATGTATATTCTTGCATTTTTATGTTACTTACCAGTTACCGTTAATGACACCTGTATTGTTTCCTCCCCGGCAGTGTTGTTTACCCAACAAAGATATTTTCCACTGTCCTCTAAGCGGGCCTATGTAGAAAGTTTGAAGAAAAATTATTTTTCACTTATGAAAAGATGCAAAGCCAGCCTTTAAAAATAATCTTAATTATTTTTTTTTTAAGATATTCTGCCACTTTTAAATCGATAACACAAAGAGTTCTTAGTTTCAATATGTTACCTTTAAATCCACCCCATTTTAAGTCTAGTACGAACATACTCAAGTAGCACACTGGTCTATAGCTGGGTGTAAATTTATGAATTTTTGTACAAATCTAATTAAATTGAATAAAAAAAATTAAAATAAAATAAAAAAAACTTTTTAATATACAACGCTCTTATAAATGGACTAAAAATTAGTAAATAATATTTCTCAGTCCCATAGAATTTGTTTTGATAACTTTTGATTTTGAAATTTTAGCAAAAGTCATTATAAACCACTTATGAGATTGAAAACGAAAAACATGAAGCACATGCAACACAAAGCATTCGATTTAATTGACAATAGTCAAACTACATAACATAAACCTAAAATTTCTACAGAGAAAGTACAAATTTGAGATCGATTTTAAGCGGTCGTTATTCATATCCACATTCATACATATGTATATTACCCTTCATATCAATTCAGGTCTATTACATGCGCCCCACGCTTTTCATTTTCAATCTTATAAATGGTTTATAATGACTTTTGCTGAATTTTCAAAATCAAAAGTTATCAAAGCAAATTCTATGGGACTGAGATATATTATTTTCTAATTTTTAGTCCATTTATAAGAGCGTTGTACATTAAAAAGATTTTTATTTTATTTTATTTATTTTCTACTTTTTAGTCTTGTTTGTATAAAATTTTGCAATAGATATTAAAATAATTCAACTTGCAGTGAAAAGAGAACAGAAGACTATGCCAGAGAACTTAGATAGATAGAGAACAGTGTTGCCATTTGAGCCGTTTTCCGGCTAGATTTAGCCGGTTGCGATAGCAAACAGCCGGAGAAATTTCGATTTAGCCGGCAGCCGATTTGTTAGCCGTTTTACAGAAAAAAATTAGCCGTTTTTAGCCGATTTTGCTATTTGCCTTGTTTTCGTAAATTTCAAATAGGTATATATGTTTCCATTTTTGACTAAGCGACCCAAAATCTGTTAGAAATGACTACTAGGCTTATCGTGGAGAAAATTTGCATGTCAGGCAGGGTTGTATGAAATGGGGCCGATTTCGCTTATTTTTGTTTGAAACGAAGAAGGGATTTTCTTCATAAAATGTTTGTTATAAATGTCTTAATTTTAAGTGTGAAGTTTTATTCGCAAACTTAGAAAATAAGAAATTGTTTCACTGTTAAGACACTTAAGATGCGTTTGTGTTTGGATTTAGTGCCAACAAAAGAATAAATATTACATGTAGATATTGTCTTCCCAGATAGCGCATATTCAATTCTGCCTAAATTACAAAACATCATTTTTGCACACTCCCAAAGGTTTAAGGTAAGGGGAAAATTGATATTTTCAAGCACTATCTACACATATGTATTTTTTTAAACAAACTTTTTTGCTGAGAACCTATTTAAATTCCAAAAACCGAATGCCAACTTGAATTAAAGGAGCCAACACTGAAGTGAGTCAAAATGAAAATAAAAGAGCACAAATTTCTATGTAAAGCAAGACTCTCTGGGAATCCTACGAGACATCTGCCGGTCATATGCAGTGTTGCCATTTTAGTCGTTTTCCGGCTAGATTTAGCCGGTTGCGATAGCAAACAGCCGGAGAAATTTCGGTTTAGCCGGAAGCCGATTTGTTAGCCGTAAAAGAGCACAAATTTCTATCTAAAGCAAAACTCTCAGGGAAGACTATAGGTTTGTTCGTCGAAAATGCAACGAAAATTATCACTCAAAATATCAGATAGTAAGAAAAAATGCTCCCTGATTCTCTCTCAGGTAAAGAAACTTGCAAATTTCTGCACGAACGCAAATTTTCAGGAACTTGCAAGTTTTCCTGCCAGCTAGTGTCCACGGTTGCATTTTAAACATAAGGAATTTGTATAGAATTTTTAAAATTCTATCAGTGGAGCAAAAAACAGGGTCTACATTTCTTGTTAGCCCGACTTTCTTCAACATACGTTTCAATTGCTTTGTCGTAGTAACTATCGGGTTTCCTATATCGACTCTGGTTGAGATGGCATTCCGAGTACGTTTCAAATCACTGGAATTAACAAAATTAATTAAGTAAACAAGTGTTTACTTAAATTTTTGTTAAGTTTGTAATTTTTTAAATTTGACGAATTCGAAAAAAATGCAACCATGTGCCACAATCATATGTTTTTCATAATTGCAAATTCTTGCTGGCAAAACTTTTTCCAGCTTGAATTTGCAACTAGTCTTTCTACTTATGATTTATTTAAATAAGACATGTGAAATTTAGTTGAAACACTTTAGCCCTTTTTAGCCGTTTTTTTTGCCAATTTAGCCGGTTGGTCCAAAAAGTTCTGGCAACACTGATAGAGAAGGTGCAAACTGAAAGTGGAAACTATTCGCGGACGAAAAATTAACAGCTTTGGAAAAGTTAACCACGGAATGTAGAAACGCTTGTTAACAGACACAAATTCTGTTGAATTTAATGTTGATAACATAATAAAGTGTTGAGCAACATAAAATCTGCTCTTCTTCGTGTTGCTAGCAAATAAACGAAAATATGGCAAATCTAATTTTCATTAATTTGTAATTTTTGTTAAATTTTTTAACTTGTTCTCTTTTTGTATAATACAATTTAATAAAATTATAGTTTTGCATAAAATTTACACACATACATATGTACATGTATGTACACTGGCAATGAAATGTGAGTGCATGGTGTTTTTTGTTTAATATTTGCAATGTTTTTCAAGTTAAAATATTTTTGTTATTTTTTTATAAAAATGTGGTTCATGCTTTAATTAAAACCCCATAAGTCAAACTTTCAATTTTGACCTGGTTTAATCTGAGTTTTTAGAAAATTTTGAGTACGCAGATAGATCGGTTTTTTAATTCTAGTGGAGCAAGATCAAGTTTTAAGCGGCTAAAAAATCGGTGTCGAGGACATGAGCGCCAATTTGATCGAGTTTGATTAGTCTTCATATTTTTGTTCTCATTTTTCATACTATGCGTGCGGCCGGCAACCTTATCATTTATACTATTGTGAATTAATTTTGGAAATGTAAAATTGGATTGTTGTTGTTGTAAGCGGTGTCATGGGGTGACCTGTGCCCGCAATTAAGAAAGTTTTAGGCTACGTTTTTTCAACTACCGCCGCGGCCGCATCGCACTCGTTGTAATTATCAAGCCACTCGGGCTATAAACTTGAAGTCACTCTACCAATCACACTGTGAGACAAATGGTAGGGGTCAGTGATCGGGAAGGGTTCAAACTACCGGGAAAAGTTATATCGGTAAAAAAGAAGTTATACGTGTCCCGGCGTTTCGCTGGGTCACGTCTAGGAATCGAGATATATCGATTTGAAGTTAGTAACTATCATATAGGGGAAATTGTCACCTTTGGTGGTCTTTTTTTTGACATAACTCGAGAACCACTAGTCCGATTTTGCTCAAACTAATTTAAAAAAATTAAAAATTACAATTCCTTTAATCTGCTCATATAACGTTTTTCTATATAATCAACAGTTTTGCCGGCAAAAATAAATGTATGAAGAAAAAAAATATTTTTTGCCTAAAATATAAAATTTTTTTATTTTTTAAATTCATAAAAAATCCAAAACGGAAAAAAGGCAAGTCGTATTACTTTCACGCAAAGTCACATAACCTTTAAGCAAAATGAGACATAGATCATGAAAATCGATGGACGCGTTTCGCTTTTATTCACAATTAAGTGAAGGTATCTCATTCAAAGGTGACAATTTCCCCTATATGATAGTTACTAACTTCAAATCGATATATCTCGATTCCTAGACGTGACCCAGCGAAACGCCGGGCCACGTATAACTTGTTTTTGACCGATATAACATTTCCCGGATGGTGTTATCGTTGTTTAACTTTTCTTGAATAAAGTCTGTTAATTATTTGAATTATATATATTAAAATCCAATCGGTTTTAATTATTGTGGACTCTGTAACTCGGCGCACCCTGCGCTAGTATTTCTTACTCCCTTAATTAGCAACATGGTCCTTCGAGTCGGATGGGCAACCCGCGACCGAACAAAAGTACATGAGTACGTACAAAGCGAATTCTGTCGAAGTCAGTCGAAAGAGAACTTAAAAGCGGCCGGTAGTTACGCGCAAAATAGCAAGCGGTAGTGGAAAAAAAATAACAAATAGAAATAAATAGCGGAAAAACTAATGAAATTGCAAAAAATATACAAAAAAGAAATAAACAAAAAGTTAAGAAAATTAACAAATTAGAGTGGAAATTAAAATATACTGTGAAACAAAAACAAAAATAAAAGCCAACTCTGGTATAGCGGCACCTCAACACGAGCATTAGGGTGGTTCGTCATACAAAAATTAAAATTAAAAGCACTGTGGAAAAGGAAAAGTTGGTGATTTGACAAAAAAAAACGTGGAAATAACTGAAAATAAAAAGGGTAAAAAGCGAAATATTACCGGAAAAGAAAAGAAAACTCAGTAGAATTACCTGAAAAGAAAATTCACTAAAAAGCAAATAAATACCTGAAAAGAAAAGAAAATTCAGTAAAAAGCAAATAAATACCTGAAAAGAAAAGAAAGTTCAATAAAAAGCAAATAATTACCTGAAAAAAACAAGAAAATTCTACAAAAAACTGAAAAAGGGCGTATAAGTGTGGAAAAAAGTTTATATATACTTAAAAAACAAAGTCAAACTAAAGGCTGAATAGTGTGCTGGAAAAAAAAGTGTGCGAAAAAAGTGCATATCTACCAACTTACCAGTAAAAAATTGCTGAAAAAGAAAAAAGCCCAAGATATAAAAAAAGAGCTACATACTTACCTAGTTAAAAAAAAACGGTACGTGCTGAAATAAAAAATAAAGGTCCACAATAAAAAAAAGGGAAAAGGCGAACTAAAACGGTCTTAGCGGCAGTGAAGACCCCAGCACCAACAACGAAAGCAGATAGCAACAACGGCAGCGACAGGATACTGGCCATTTCAGGCGGTACAGTCCCGACAAAAAAAACAGGTGGTACCCAGGAAGCAAGTAAGTGCACCATTTCACTACTCTAAACTTGCACATAAAAATATACATATATTACGTATGTAAATTTGTTAGCGGTTCCCCGGTACGGCAAATTGAAGTCGCTGAACTTCTAATTTACCGTAACTAAAGGGCACCCTGAAATTGTGCATATGGAAACTGTGCATACGAAATAATGCATATGAAAAAAACCGAAATAATGCATACGAAAAAAACCGAAATAATGCATATATGCACAGTTTCGGTTGAAAACC